CCGAATCGGCTGAATCGGCCTAAAGCCGGCCCTGTTCTCAACCTATTTGCCATTGTGGGCCGCATCCCATACTACCTGTATGGCCCTGAGGATGTCACATGGGCGGCAGCTCTGTGCTGACTGGGCTGCAGGTTGAGAACCACTGCTCTGGTCAGTGTGTGTTACAGGTCCCCCCTGTGCCAGATCCACAGGGGACTGGAATCTGTTCCTGCCTCCACTATGCTAGTTTGACTCAAGCTGTATCCGCTCCTGCTTTCAGCGCCGGAGGGCTGTGGTTCGATTCCTGGTGTGGTTGGCAAAGATGGGGTTGTCACCTGTAGAAAAAGCTTATGGTACCTTGATACCTGTATAAATGTGTTCACGCGAGGGGGGCTGTACTGGCATCGTTAAAGGAATACACATTTTGTGTGTAGTTAATGCCTTAGTTCCCAAGAGAAACAGTGTCCTGCACCCTATCCTGGATCTCTGATAACAGAACGGATCCCGACATTGTTGTTGTTTATATTACCACAGCACCTGGAGGCTGAGATCAGGACCCCTGCCGGAAGGCTGTGCCTTGTTCTGGGAATGGTCATTGCCCAGCATGTGTACGGAGAGATTTTGTATTTCCTGACACCACCTCGCACAGAGTAAAAGTTACTAAGAGCTCTGGGTTGAAAGACCCCGGGTAACACGTGGACCTGAAGTACTTTCTGTGGTTTAGACACAGAGACCTGGGAACAAACAACTCAAAAAGCTAGGGCCGTGCTGTGGATTAAGAGTAGGGAATGTGCTTTTCTAGAGAAACTGTGGTAGGGTGACCAGATGTCCCGATTTTATAGGGACAGTCCTGCTTTTGGGGTCTTTTTCTTATATAGGCTCCTATTACCCCCACCCCTGTCCCGATTTTTCACATTTGCTGTCTGGTCACCCTAAACTGTGGGGATTTGTGGTTAAGGCACTGGATTGAAACTAAAGAGAATTGGGTTCAATTCCTCACTCTGACTTCCTTTTTAACCTTGGGCAAGTTACTTAATCTTTCTATGCCTCAGTTCCTCAACTGTCAAATGGGGAAAGTAAACCTTCCTTTATGTGTCTTGTCTATTTAGATTGTAAGCCCTTTAGGGCAGGGACTGTCTCTCACTGTGTGTCTGTGCAGCGCCCGGCTCAACGGGGCCCTGATCTCAGCTGGGGCAGGGACTGTCTCTTCCTGTGTGTCTGTGCAGCGCCCGGCACAACGGGGCCCTGATCTCAGCTGGGGCAGGGACTGTCTCTCCCTGTGTGTCTGTGCAGCGCCTGGCTCGACGGGGCCCTGATCTCAGCTGGGGCAGGGATTGTCTTTCCCTGTATGTCTGTGCAGCGCCTGGCACGATGGGGCCCTGATCTCAGCTGGGGCAGGGACTGTCTCTCTCTGTGTGTCTGTGCAGCACCTGGCATAATGGGGGCCTGATCTCAGTTGGAGTCTCTAGAAGATACAGAAATCAACGACTGTTGTTTGCAATGTACTTGTAGCCGTGTTGGTCCCAAGACATTAGAGAGACAAGGCGGGTGAGGTGATATCTTTTATTGGACCCATTTCTGTTGCTGAGAGAGACAAGCTTTTGAGCTTACACAGAACCGAAGAGCTCTGTGTAGCTTGAATGCTGTCTCTTTCACCAACAGAAATGGGTCCAATAAAAGCTATTACCTCACACTCCTTGTCTCACTGGAAATCAAATCATTTCCCATTATTATTTAGATAACACCGCTGCCCCAAAGAGCACTTATTGTTTTTCTCTCCCTATTTTAGGTGATTCATGTAACCGCAAGTTCAAGAAACGTGCTCCTCTAGTTGGCGTCTTCGTAATTTTGATCACTATCATCATTGTTCTGGCTGGTGAGTTCCCAGCCCTCAGTCTCTGCACTTCCTGTTTCGCCCTGGAGCGATCACAGTCACATAGTCACACCTCCCCAGCCTCCAACTTCCGCTCCTTCCGACTTACTACTTCATCACTAAAAGAAGAACAGGAGTACTTCATCACTGGCTCTTTAGATCAGCTCTCTAGTGTTACCCATGGGTGACCATCCCTGTGCCCCCTCTGCAATGAAAGGATTGTATTTCGAGCACACACCCCCGGGAATGCAGGAAGTTGGCGCCTATGGTAGAGGGGGTCAGAGGTTTACCATAAACAGGGTCTGGAATCGCTGTGACAATCAGTAACATGAAATGGCATCTAGGTGTCACAGGGCAACTGGTCCCTTTAAGGGGAGATGGGGCCAGCCTCACTCCTGCCATAGTTAATTAGTTGCTTCCTAGCCTGAGGGAGGGTCAAGTGAGAGCTTAATCACTTGGCCTTATAAAGGGACTGAGAGCTGGAACCACAGGGACCAGGCAGCCAGGCTCCCTTGGAAGGCCTTGAGCAAGGGTCTGTAAGGAAAAGGGCTGGGAACTGGGTGGAGAGGGTGAGCTGACGGGAAGTCCTGAGATTCGGCAGGACATCTTTGTTTGTTTGGGACTTCTTAATTTGGACCCTCGGCAACCTGGAAGGGGATACGTTTGTTGTGGGCTTGAACGGAGGGCGAAGCTACATCTGCAGCACAGAGCAGTGGCTGGGAAGCTGAGGAGACCAACCTTGGAGAGGGAAACTGAGGCCTGGAACAGCAGCTGCACTATTCTTGGTTTAATGGGGGTCTCTGGTTCTGAGAACATTTATTGCCCCTTACCCCCCTCCTAGACAGAGAGGGAGAGAATCTCTGACCCTTTTTGACTTTCTCATTTTCAGGAGTAAAGTTTTCAGGTTGCCCTGATCCTCCGGTTGCTGCCCACTGCTGCCCAGACGGCTGGGTCGGGTATGGAGGGAAATGCTACTATTTCTCCGAGGCCGAAGGGACCTGGAACAACAGCCAGAGCAACTGCTCCTCCTTCGGTGCCTCCCTGGCTGCGATCGACACCCCGCAAGAAATGGTGAGAGACCCTTTCAGACTTTAAAGCAGTAGTCCCCAGACTTTCGAGTGCTGTGCCTCCCCCCTTACTCCTGACCGTGCCTCCCTGTTGCCCCCCCAGGGGTGGAGGTGGGTTTGATCTCCCCCATGCTGCTGTTAGCTCCCCAGCCCGAGGCTCCGAGCTGCTAGTCCCGGGTTGGCTGGGGAGGGACAGGACTTGAGCGTCCCCTGCACAGCTACTTGCGGGCGGGAGTTGACGGGGGAGATCAGACCTACCTCTGGGTACCTCCCCCAGCTGCAGGGTGCTCCCAGCAGCACAGGGGAGATCAGATCCACCTCCACCTCTGGCAACCTCTTACGGCTGCAGGAAGCCCTGGAGCTTCTGCCCAGCGCTGGAGCTTCCTGCAGCTGGAGGAGGTCCCCGGAGGGGGACTGATCTCCCCTGAGAGCAGCTGTGCAAGGGAGGAATAAGTCCTGCCCCACCGCATCCCGGGGACTAGCAGCTGGAGATGGGGACACGGTAGTAGGCCCCAGCTTGGGCACCCCCAGCCCTGCTCCTCCCCCCACATAGCTAGATTTCACAGAGGAGGTCTGATTTTATGGTCCGTGACGCGTTTTTCACGACCGTGAATTTGGTAAGGCCCCAGCCACAACCTTAACAAGGAGGTTTTGCTGTCGCTGGCAGCTAGAACAGCATTGCAGACTGCACTAGGCCCCGTCAGCAGCACGGAGAGACTTGAATGCAGCTCGTGGTAAATAATATCTTTCACTCCCTCTTTTGGAAAGGCTTTTATCAAGCGCCATAAGGGCCTCTCTGAGCACTGGATCGGCCTCCGGAGGGAACCGGGCCAGCCCTGGAAATGGACCAACGGCACCGAATTCAATCGCTGGTGAGTTCTCTTTCTCGTCAATGGGGGGCCCTATCAGGGAAGTTGGCTTGGCTATAAATGTGACTGGTTAGCTGATGGGGCTGAGGCCAGGGATTGCAAGAGAGGATCAGGTGACTTGCAGGCTTAGCTCAAAGGCCAGCCAGCTGCTCCGCTGAGAGCTGCAGGGAGCAGGTAGGTGCTGGCTGGAGGCAGGGCCCAGTTTAGTTCTTTGCTTTACGTTGACCTGTTTCCAATAGTAAAACATATCCCCGAGGAAACGGACAGAACTGCTGTTGTGATAGCTCTGAGACAAGCCGTGATAGCTCCGCTGATTACAGCTGGACTTAACCCAACCCTACTAAGGCCGTTTTCAACATCCACACGTAACTGTTTTGCTGTTGACCATTTTAACAGAAGCATCAAGCCAGCAGACTTCCCCATCGCCACTGGATGAAGTCCCAGATCCTGGGGCAGATAGTTGCGATCACGGATTGCTGGCGTTTGTGAAAGAAGAATTCAACCCCCTTCCTCAAATTTAGTCCTCTCCTTCATGTCCCCAAAATGGGGAGAGACAAAGGGGATGCATCCCCTTCCCGGTGACAAACGTTTCAACTGCTTGCTGGGCCCCAAAACCCAGTATTTTCCTAGTTAAGAAATGCCCCAGCTTTCCCTAACCTAGCTGCTTAAACTTCCCAGTTTCCCTTGACAATTGTGTTTGGAACTTTGCACCAAAATTTTGCATCACACTGAAATTAAAAATTGGAGAGCAGCGTTTAATGTGAACCATAACCAGGGATGTTGGGCTAACTGGACTATACAAAAGGGGACAGTGGGACATAATGTAGAGGCCGTTGCCGCTTGCTTTCTGTCCGCTGTGCTGCATAGACCACGAAGCCTTGACTTTAATTCCGTGGTGCTTGTAATGCAGGTTTGAAGTCAGAGCACAGGGTGAGTGCGCGTATCTGAACGACGATGCCGTCACCTCTTCTTGGTGCGACACGGTGCGATACTGGATCTGCAGCAAGCCTGCCGGACGTACGGCGTGAGAGGAGAATGGAGCGCAAGGGCAAGCGGAGACGTCAGAGCTCAACTGAAGTGGCTACTGTATGCACAGGGACACACGCACCCCCGTCCCGACTTTTCTACCTAACGTATTTGTATCAATTTAGATGGAACGTGACACATTTTTTTAAAATGCACTTTATGTTTTTACGGCAGCAGGGGGGTGGGGGCGGTAGTGACGTGCTGTATCGTGTTTCTGGGCAAGTGAAGGTGGTCCAGAGCCTCTCCGCATCTGCTTTTTCCTCAGTGGTACGAAGATTTCAGCAAAAAGAAGAACAGGAGTACTTGTGGCACTTTAGAGACTAACAAATTTATTAGAGCATAAGCTTTCGTGGACTACAGCCCACTTCTTCAGATGCATGTATGTATCCGAAGAAGTGGGCTGTAGTCCACGAAAGCTTATGCTCTAATAAATTTGTTAGTCTCTAAGGTGCCACAAGTACTCCTGTTCTTCTTTTTGCGGATACAGACTAACACGGCTGCTACTCTGAAACCTTTCAAGATTTCAGCAAATTCGGAAGCACCAGACAGACTCTCAACTCCATGTCCTTGCGGTCTGCGAGCTGTCAGAGGGAAAACTGTTGCAGGGGGATTCTCTGTACCTAGGTCCAGCTCATAGGTGCCAACTCCATGGGTGCTCTGGGGCTGAAGCACCCACGGGAAAAAAATAGGGGGCGTTCAGCACCCGCCAGCCACAATGGCTCCACGGCTCCCTGGCTGGCTGCGGATCAGCTGTTCCGGAATCTGCAGGGCTGGCTGCGGATCAGCGAGCGGCTAGCGGGAGGCTCTCAGGGGAGGAGCAAGTGGCAGGTGGGTGGGAGGGACCTCGGGGGAGGGGGGCAGGAAGAGATGGAGCGAGGGTGGGGCCTTGGGGTAAAGCCCCCACTGGGAAAAACACAAGTCAGTGCCTGTCATCCAGCTGCTGGCACCCTGCACTTTAAATCCATCAATGTGACTAAAGAAAAGTTGCTGCTGTTTATCCTTCAGAAGGTAAAATCACTATATTTGACAGTGCCACACCTGACCCCCACTATGGTTAGGGCCCTACCAAATTCACAGTCCGTTTTGGTCAATTTCACAGCATAGGGTTTTAAAAATCGTAAATTTCATGATTTCAACTATTTAAGTCTGAAACTTCAGGGTGGTGTAACTGTAGGGGTCCTGACCCCAAAAGCAGTTGTGGTGGGGTTGCAAGGTTATTGTAGGGGGCGTTGCAGTACTGCTACCCTTACTTCTGCGCTGCTGCTGCTGGCAGCAGCAGTGCCTTCAGAGCCGGGCAGCTGGAGCGCGGCAGCTGCTGGCCGGGAGCCCAGGTCTGAAGGCAGAGCCACCACCAGCAGCAGTACGGATGGCATGGTCTGGTATTGCCACCCTTACTTCTGCGCTGCTGCCTGCAGAGCTGGGCCCTCAGTCAGCAGCCGCCACTCTCCGGCCATCCAGCTCGGAAAGCAGCAGGGCAGAAGTAAGGGTGGCAATACCACGACCCCCCTAAAATAACCTTGCAACCCTCCTTCAAACCCTTTTGGGTCAGGACCCCCAATTTGAGAAGCGCTGGTCTCCCCTGTGAAATTTGTATGATGTAGAATAAAAGCACACAAAAGACCAGCTTTTACAGGGGGAAACCAGATTTCACAGTCCGTGATGCATTTTTCATGGTCGTGAATTTGGTAGGGCCCTACCTACGGCGAGCGCTGTCCTTGGCCTGAGGAACTTACAACCCAAGCCGATGAAACAGGGGTAGGGACGAGATACAAAATGAGAATGATGATGGGTAGGCACAGGTTGTAAATTTCAATGAAACCAGTGGGTGTGAATCCAAAGTCCATCTGCAAGGTTCTTTGAAATTGGCTTTTATTTCTATATAATTTTGATGCGTATTTTTTCACTTACAAAAAAATGTTGACAGGTTTCCGAGGGGTAGCCGTGTTAGTCTGCATCAGGAAAAACAACAAGGAGTCCTTATGGCACCTCAGAGACTCAGAAATGTATTTGGGTATAAGCTTTCGTGGGCTGGAACCCACTTTATCAGATACATTTAAAAAAAACATTTTTTAAAAAAATGTTGTTGTCATCTGTTTGGTTTTCGTCTGGTTTTCTTTCTTTTTTTTTCTTCTTCTTGCATTCTTCCCTCTACCACAGTCTCTGTCTTTGTCCATTCTCTGCCAGCTCCCCCTGCTGCACAGGATTCTATGCTACCGATCTGCTTCCTTTGCAAACCTTCCTCCTCCAGTGTCAGGCCCTGTTACATGGAAAGTGAGAGTCTGGATCTTCCCACCTGGCCCAATAAAGTATCATGTGGCCTTATTCTCCTCTGCTTTGGGAAGATGGGACTGTCACAGTCCAGGGCAAATGCAACTATATTCCTCCCCTGTGGTCCCTCAAGGACACGCATTCTAGGCTCCTCAACCATCACCTCTCTTGAGCAGAGCCCCACGTCTCTCTCCCTCCCGACCAGGGTGTTTCTAGTTCCCTGCCTTCCAGTGTGACATTCCCCCAGCAAGCCAGATGGCCTAAACAGGCTAGTGTCTGCACTGGGGTGTCTCTCCAAAGGCTAGGAACAGCTGTAATTGCCAGCAGTTATGAGTTACCCCACAGCCTTTTATAACCAAGCATTTATTCTTATAGTGAAAGCACTACAAAGAAAGCATATTAAACACAGGGGCTGACTCCGTGGGTGCTCTAGGGACTGGTGCACCCATGGAAAAAAAAATAGTGGGTGCTCAGCACCCACCAGTCACCCGCTGATCAGCTGTTCAGTGACGGGCAGGAGGCACTGGCGGGTGGGGGCAGGAAGAGGCGGAACAAAGGTAGGCCACTGGGGGCTGGGATGGGAAGAGGTGGAGCGAGGATGGGGCCTTGGGGGAAGGGACGGAGTGAGGGTGGGGCCTTGGGGTGGAAGTGGAGCACCCCCTGAAAAATAAAATCACATCTCTAAAAAAATCCTTGCATAGATTTTTAGATGCACAATCTGAGTATTCATCTTTAGCCTTAAATGCTTGGATCTTCCGACATAGTTTTTTGAATAAATCCTTCAAAAGACCACCCTTATCTAAAATACACATGCGAGCCCAGGTTGCCGTTGGGCATAGGGGCACCCGTTTAATAATACTGCGTAGGGCCCCATAAATCCTAAGGACGGCCCTGAAAAGGACAGTAAATCAGGCTAACAATGAAATCCGAATTCAGCTGCAAACTGACCTTCTGAGCGATTGCTGTGACTCCATAATGGGTCAGCCTCAAGCAGGCCTGTCTCTGGGTTAGGGTGACCAGATGGCCTGATTTTTGGGTCTTTTTCTTACATAGGCTCCTATTACCCCCCCTCCTGATGTTTCACATTTGCTGTCTGGTCACCCTACTCTGGGTCTATGCTGCTCCAGATCCTCTTGTAGTTTCTCTTCACTGGACGCTTCTCTTCATCCCTCTGGGTTTCCATTGCCTTTCAGGGGCTGCTCCTACTGCTGTTTCTCCCCCACCTTTCTCTGAGGCCCTGGGGAGTGAGGCCTGGGCTCCTCTGGGGCTGAGTCAGCACAGCTGGTTGTAATCAGCTGCAGAGACTTGGACCCAGAATTTTCCCCCTTTCCCAGCTTCTTCCACTCCTGGAATTGCAGAGAGACCAGTCTGGGGTTAGTGTGCTAAGCCTGGGATTCCTCTTTTCATCCACTGCTCCCCTTACCAATGCACACATCCAGACTGGCTATCAGTAAACTCATCATCTTCCATTTCATTCGCCCCCTTACTCTCCCTAAAGATCCCCACGCGCCTTAGAAACAAACCGAAGACCGAGCTCACTGGGCTGTGCAGAGAGGCGGTCGCATTCCACTGAGTGGAGTGGAACAAAACAGCAGCTGCGCCGGCAACGTGAGTCAGCAGTTTTGGAAAAGGCAGAAAGGAAACTCCTGTGTCCCGCAGATACTTTCACTGGACGTTGAACGAGTGAGACAGGATGTTGGGCTGGGGTTTGGTCAGGAGAACAAGGCTAACGTTCCTGCTCCTGGGAAAACGGCGTTTATCTGTGTCGGTGTGTCTAGATACTGACCACGGACACGCTATTAAGCCATTAGTACAACAGCCCCCAGATATGCATCTTATGTTAGCCCACCACACAGCTGTTTTATCATCATATTACTTCAGAAACAATATGAAGCTACTTAGAATCATAGAAACGTAGGGGCTGGAAACAAAAAAGGTCAGATCAACCTCAAGACTGGAATTTTCCTGGGAAATGTGAGTGATTTGAACACGGGGTCGCTGATTTACAACCTACATATACAGGCATTTTTCACAATCCCGAAAGTCTTCCAAGCCAGGCTTTGCAAAGGTCCCTAAGGGAGTGATCTTGCCCAAATAATTGAATTCCCTGGGGTGCCCCTGCAAAGGGCTCAGGCCGTATCCAAAAGGCAGGAGGCCGTGAAACCTAGGGCTAGATGACCGCCTGAGGTCTCGTCCAGCCCTAATTGTCTATGATGCTACGTGGAGTGGCAGTTTGTCACGTCCCACCGGGCACACGCTGCTCTGTAGTGGAGTATTGGCATTAATAGGCAGTTAATGAGGCCGTTGGCTTTGCAGCAGGGCCGGCCTGGGCCGCTGGTGACCTGTCTGCACCCGGGCTCCTTCCCTGAGATCTGCAACTAGCGATGACTTTCCATAGGCGCTGGACTGGCTCCTGGCGGCTGGACGATGGGGGGGGCAGAGGAGTGGGGCAGGGCCCCCGAGAGCACAGCCAGCCCCGGGGGGAGAGGCAGGAGCCCTGCCCCGGCAGTGCCTCCTGCGGCCGCTAGGTGTCCCCGCGCTGCAGCGCCCCGGCCGGCGGGCGAGGCCCCTGGTTAACAGCCGATGCCAGGCTGGAGCCGAGCGGGGTGGAGGGTGGAGGGTGGGGGCTGCAGCCGGCGCTCAGTAGAGCCGGGTCCTGCGGGGGCGGGGCGCCGGGAGGGGGGCCGGGCTGAGCGCGGGAGGGGCCGGGCGGCCGGATGCGATGCGATGCGGGCGGAGCGCGCAGCCCGGCGGCCCTCAACCCGCTCCAGGGCAGCTCTGGGCTCGCTGCAGCCAGCCCGGTCCGTCCGCCCCTTCCCCCCACCTAGCTCGGGGGCGTGCACAGCTGCGGCCCGCGGGATCTGCCCCGCCCCCAGCCAGCGCCGGGACAGCTGGGATGGTGCGCTGGTGAGGAGGGGGTGACCTGTGTCCGTGCCGGGCTCGGGGGTGTGATCTGCTCTCTGTGCAGGGCTGGGGGGGATTGGTGCCTGTGCAGAGATGTACGGGTGTGTATGGGGGGGTGATTGGTGCTTGTGCAGGGGTGTGTATGGTGGGGGGTTGGGTGCTCTCTGTGCAGGGCTCTATGGGGGGGGGCAGGATGGATTTGATTTAAATCATGATTTAATCAAGTTTTCCTGACTAGTGATTTAAATAATAGATTTCTACATAAAAGTGCATTGTTGTTGGTTGTTATAATCTTAATACATATTCTTTGCAACTCAGGGATAGATGTAGGCTTCATTTTTAGAAGGTACACACTATTTTTTAAGTGGCTTATTTTGAAAACTTTTCAGATGAGTTTTACAGCTATATCAGAAAATGAATGGTTGTTTGGTTATTTCATTTACCAAAGGTAATTGAAGCAAATTTTTATGAAGTCATTGGGACGTGACCTAGCTCCAGTCAATAGGTTAATCATTCATATCTGGAGGATTTTCTTGCCATGCTGTATTAGGAGGAGAACATCACCAGACAGACATTTAAATTGTTTTATTTAACTAAAACAATAATATTATGTATTCTGGATTTTTTCTTCAACAGCCAACATATATTTTAAACATTCAAGTTTTTTAAAATCAGGTTTTGTTTTTGTTTGAAATTGTTTTCAACTAAAATAGTTAAATGAAATATTTTTAAAAAACCAACAAAAATTAAATTGACTGTCAGCCAGGTCAACATGAGAAACTTAAAATATTGGCTTCTGCAGCTAACTCAGTCATCTTCACCTTCATTTTCCTGTTTGTTCATATTCTGGAAAAGAAAAATAAGTTTTCGCTGCTTTGTCAGGCCCCAAATGATTTCTCAATTTGGAATGAATTAGTTCAAATGAAGAAAATAGTCTTTCTACACCGATGGAAGAAGCAGCTACTGCTGTTAAAAGTGAGATTATCACTTCAACAGTCTCTGAATCCAAGTACTTAAGTGACTTCCACTGGTTCACTGGTGTGACTTTCTTGAAAACATCTGCAAACCTATATTTCTTGAACGGTTCACCCTTAGCTCTGAAGTTTATTGTAGTCGGCATTATGGAGGGACGATTGCTGCATGTCCATGTCATAGCCAACTCCTCTTCTTCAGCAGTTAAGGTTTGACCCTGGTACCGAGTATTGAGAATATTTGCAAGAAAATGAGCTGGAGATAGTGCTTGTCCCATTCGTTTTTTTAATGCTTGTAATTTAAGTCTGTTGTTGCATATTTCTCTTTTTGAGGTCTCACGTAGTTCCTTCCAAACTTTGGCTGTGACGGTGCCATCTATTTTTTCACGATTTTGCTCACAGACTGTCATCGGTTCTTGATATAGTGCTCAAAACAGGCCACTACTGAGTTCCATCGCATGTCTTGTGGGAGAGTTAGCTTGCTTCCTCCCACTTTTTTTTCAGAGCGGCTGCTGCAAAGTGGTTATTACAGAAGTATTTTGCAATTTCAACAACATTAGCCTTTATTTCTGGAACAATGAAGTCTTTGGCTAGGAGGTGCACCAAATGAGCACTGCAACCATATGTTATTAACTTGGGACTCTCTTCTAAATAATTTTCTTCTCATCTTGGATACATTTGCAGCATTGTCTGTGATCAAGCTGCGTACTAGACATTTGAATTTTTGTTCACAGTTTGTTATAGCTTTTGCTGCTACTTCTTGTAAGTATTCTGCTGTGTGTGCATTTCCTGATGTATCAATTGTTTCTGTAGGAAGACATTCCCGTCTTCTGTTGTCACACAAGCTCATACAACAGGATCATTGTGGACATTGTTCCACCCATCTAGACTCAGGTTAACAATTTCACCCTCTAGATCTTTTGCACACTGCTCAATTTCTCTTTCATACAGTTTATCCAGCAATTTGCCTGCGACATCTGCTCTGTTGGGTGGCCTGTATCCTGGTCTTAATGACTGAGCCATGTTAATCAAGTGTGGGTTCTCAATCGTACGGAAAGGAGAGTCTGTTGCATAAACAAACCGGGCAATTTTTTCATGAATTACCTCTTGTTGTAATCTGCTGGTTCTCATCACAAATTTATCTATGGTTGTTTCTGGATGATGGAGATTTTTTTTTTTCTTTTTGCTACAGGCGATATACTGTGGCTCTGTGACATACATGATGTGACTGAAACACTATCATTGGCAGATAACTCTGAAACTATAAAAAATGATGGTGATCTTGAAGGTGGATAGTCTTCAGAATCCTGTATGTTGAGGATGGATTCTCCTAAACAAAATAAGTCAATGCAGTTATTTAATTATTATTACTCATTGCATTCACTGACACTTGGTACTACTTTAAAGGTGAAGGAAGATCTGCCTATTTCAGCTATTTATTTTTTCTCACAACTGCATCTAAAATGCTAGTACCATAGAGTAACAACTACATTATCTGCTCAAACATGAGAATTCAAGAATAGTCCAGAAGGAAGACAGGCAGTTCTTAAGAAAGAAGTATGAAATAAAAAAGTTTACCAACATGAAGATCCTGCATGTTTAGACACGTTCTTTTCATCATCTTCAACGCAGCTTCCTCCTGAGAAGGAACACGTCTCATGATGTTTCATTCGGTCAACCAGGCCTTGCATTTCTTTATTGCACTGTTTGCGTTTTGCACGCATGTCTGTCCTACCCACAGATAGAGGAACTTCATTAAAATATTCCCAAACTGGGTCTCTTTTACGACCTCCTGCCATTGTAAATTTTCCCTTCTAGTGAGAGAATGGTATGGTAGATCTGGTATGGTAGATCTCAAATCAATGAAGGCTACGCTCAGAAAGACCTCAAGACTTCTGGAATATGCTGCTCAAACAGTTTCACTTTTGTTTCTACTGTCTGTCCCTCCCTTCTCACATTTATCTCCAGACTTCTTCTCCTTGTCCAGATCTATTCCACCCCCAACAATCTTCAATTCATTGAATTTTTTGAAACTTTTTAGAGAGAGGTAAGGGATTGACTCTGTGTACCCAAATTTGCAGAGGGACAACAGAGTTGAGGTCTGTTATTTCTCACCTCTATACATTTATTTATTTATTTTAAAACATTTTTGCTGTTAACAAGCATGTTCTCTCTGGAGACACAAATCCAGATTTTTGAGAACTGCAAAACTAAGCATCTCTGATGGTATCTTCCAGACTGAGCACTGAGTCCCAGTGGGTAGATAGCAAGATTAACCTAAATAATCTATATAGAAGCCCCTGGAACCCCATAAGATTGTGTCCCTAATCCATGAACTATTGGGACTCATTTAAAAAAAATTGTAAATATTACATGAATATATTGTCTCGTACTATAGAATTAGAATTTATAATCCCTATTCCATGATGAGAGATCTTTGAGCTATAATGTATCTTAATTAAAACTATCATTAGATAGGATATTGCCTCAAAAAGCATTTTATCAAAAAAAACCCTGATTTAAATAAAAACTGATTTTTTTTTTAATTTAAAAAAAATAGATTTTTATCCACCCTGAGCTACTATGAGGTGGGTGCAGAACTGGTTGGAAAACCGTTCCCAGAGAGTAGTTATCAGTGGTTCAAAGTCATGCTGGAAGGGCATAACGAGTGGGGTCTCACAGGGATCAGTTCTGGGTCCAGTTCTGTTCAATATCTTCAATGATTCAGATAATGGCATGGAGAGCACACTTATAAAGTTTGTGGACGATGCCAAGCTGGGAGGGGTTGCAAGTCCTTTGGAGGATAGGGTTAAAATTCAGAATGATCTGGACAAACTGGAGAAATGGTCTCAAGTAAATAGGATGACATTCAATATGGACAAATGCAAAGTACTCCACATAGGAATCAATCCAATCAGTTGCGCACACACAAACTGGGAAATGACGGCATAGGAAGGAGTACTGTGGAAAGAGGTCTGGGGGTCAGAGTGGATCACAAGCTAAATATGAGTCAACAGTGTAACACTGTTGCAAAAAAAAGGAACATCATTCCGGGATGTATTAGCCGGAGTGTTGTCAGCAAGACTCAAGAAGTAATTCTGCCGCTTTACTCCACATTGATCTGCCCTGAACTGGATACCGTATTCAGTTCTGAGCGCCACCTTTCAGGAACGATGTGAACAAATTGGAGAAAATCCAGAGAAGAGCAACTAAAATGATTAAAGGGCTAAAAAACGTGACTTACGAGGAAAGATTGAAAGGAGTGGGTTTGTTTAGTCTGGAGAAGAAAAGACTGAGGGGGGACATGCTAACAGTTTTCCAGTACATAAAAGGTTGTTACCAGGAGGAGGGAGGTAAATTGTTCTCCTTAATCTCTGAGGATAAAGCAGCAATGGGCTTAAATTGCAGCAAGGGCAGTTTAGGTTGGACGTTACGAAAAACTTCTTGTCAGGGTGGTTAAGCACTGGAATAAATTGCCTAGGGAGGCTGTGGAATCTCCATCACTGGAGATTTCTAGGAGCAGGTTAGAGAAACGCCTGTCAGGGATAATGCTTAGTCCTGCCACAAGTGCAGGGGACTGGACTCAATGACCTCTCGAGGTCCCTTCCAGTCCTATGGTTCCGTGATGAGGGGGAGTCGGGCGAAGTGCTGCTTTGCGATGGCAGCACCAGTTGGCGATTGCTCTTTGGCCAGCGGTAGCACTCGGAGCCGTTTGGAGATCAGGCCTTATGTTGCCGGGCCCTGCACAAGCCCAGAACGAAGACACTCCTTGGGCTAAGGAGTTGGGGCGCTGTCCCAGCGGCGGGGGTGGCAGTGCAGGGGTCCCTGGGCGTGCTGTGGAGTGAGGGGGGTTTCCTCATTAGCATGAGGCGCGTCCTCCCTAGGTCGAGTCCAGTGGGGTGATGCTGTCAAATGTTTCCAGCAGGAGCACGCTAAGGGCTCTGCGGCTCAGAAGACCACAGGGCTGTTCCCTGTAGAGCTCTGGGCGCCAGGCCGTGTGCTCTGGGGCTGGTTTGGGGCCTGCAGGGCCTGAGTACACAGTCTGCTCTGGAAAGTGCAGGAGTCTCGGCCACCCCCTTGTGACTGAGGGGATCGCTGGCTCTGCCCCGTGCCGTGGAGTCCCCGGTGGGGCTGTTGGCTCACGGGATGTGGGCTATGGTAACTGGCACTTCCTTGACTTGCTCCTTTGCCCAGAGTTGGTGTTCACCACACAGGGTGGCCTTAGCCAGGCCAGCTGTTTCCCACCCGTCCCGTTCAAAGGCTCAGTCCTGGTGCTGCACGGAGCCAGTTTGGTTCAAGGGGCCTTTCTACCCCATGTTAGCGAGCGGCTGTGGGGCCACGCTGGCACTATGGCTCGGGGAGCCCTGGGGTCGTCTCCCCTCCACTCTGATTGTTTGTGTCTGAATTGACCCTCCTGTGTTTCCACAGGCGTTTCCTGGCTGTCTCGTCCATGCCAGCCCCGAGTGGCAGATGAACGCCAAGCCGGGTGGGTATTTACTTGGATCCCACCTGCTCTGTTTTCTCCCAGCAGGGCCCCAATCCCGATACTGGATGGAGCGAGGGGAAGAGCTGCAAGTCCCAGATCTCAGCAAAGAGGAGGATGACGAGAGCTGGCCGGGCCCCCAAACAGGTGAGGGATTAATAAGCCCAGCTGAGAGGGGTGGGGGTAGCTGGGACCACCCACAGCCCCCCCTGCAAGCCCTCCTGGCCCAGCTCCTCTCTGAGGTTGTCACCACCCTCTCCCTGATCTGTGTGCACCTGGCACCCATCCCACCACCTGCGCCAGGGCCCCCAGAACCATACGAGAGCCAGGTCTTGGCTCTCACTGAAAAAGCAAATAATATTTCCAGCCCACACAGAGGCAAAGAAAGGCTTGTGAACGTGAGTTGGGTGGTGCTGACGCCTGCCTGAGTCGGTAGCAGCCTGAAAAAGCTGCAAGAGGTGTGACCGGCCCCTTCAATCCCTGCTCAGAAACCGGCTCCAGGGAGGGGCGGGGCCACGTGGGCAGTGCCTTGGGCTCTGACTGCCGTTGAGGCCCGTCCTCCTGTGGGGACGGCTCCGGCCTGATTGCCCATTTGTTCCTGCAGGTGAGAGGCTGGCGAGCGTGGCTGGGGTAGAGGATGCTGCACCGGGAAGGGGCAGCACCAGCACTGATGTGGAGCCGGTGGGGGGAGCGTGGCACAAAGACCCTGCTGCGGGGGCAGAGGAGGCGGTGCCCGGAGGCAGGGCCAGGGTGGAGGAGGCCATGCCGGGAGGTAGCGCTGATGCAGAGCCGGCGCGGCACAGAGACCCCACCGTCAGGCGGCCCTTTAAATGTGGCGAGTGTGGGAAGAGCTTCCGGCAGAGCGCCACGCTGACCAGACACCAGCTGCTGCATGCGAGCGAGAGGCCCTACGTCTGCACCACCTGCAGCAAAGGCTTTTGCGATGGCGCGGCGATGGCCGCGCACCAACGGGCACACACGGGCGAGCGCCCCTTCCCCTGCCTGGCGTGCGGCAAGGCCTTTGCTGGCAGCTCGGCGCTGCTGGTGCATCAGCGAGTGCACACCGGCGAGCGTCCCTACCACTGCGGGGAGTGCGGGCAGAGCTTCCGGCAGAGTGCCCACCTGACGCAGCACCAGCAGGGCGCCCCCACCAGCCTGCACCCCCACGCCTGCGCTCACTGCGGCAAGAGCTTCGGGCTGCGCTGCACGCTGGCACTGCACTTGCGGACGCACCGTGTCGAACAGCCCCACGCCTGCCCGGACTGCCCCCGCCGCTTCCACCACCGCGCCCACCTGCTCCGGCACCAGCTGGCGCACACGGGTGAACGCCCCTTCCCCTGCCCGGTCTGCGGCAAAGCCTTTGCCCTGAGCGCCACGTTGCTGCGGCACCAGCTGGTGCACACGGGCGAGCGCCCCCACCGCTGTGAGGAGTGCGGGCGCAGCTACACACAGAGCTCCTACTTGCGGCAGCACCAGCGCAGTGCCCACACCGGCCAGCGCCCCCACACCTGCCCTGACTGCGGCCAGGCCTTCGCCGACCGGGCCAACCTCCTGCGGCACCAGCGGGGCCACACGGACGCCCGGCCCCACACCTGCGCTGAGTGCGGGCGGCGCTTTGCCCAGCTGGCCAGCCTGGTGGAGCACCGCCGGCGGCACACGGGCGAGAAACCTCACGAGTGCCCCCGCTGCGGGCGCCGCTTCCGCCACCACTCGGCCCTGCTTCGCCACCAGCGCTCCCATGCTGGGGAACGCCCCTTCCGCTGCGGGCAGTGTGGGCGTGGCTACACCCGCAGCTCCAACCTCCTGCTGCACCAGCGGGTGCATGCTGCTGAGTGACATCCCCTCCCCCAGGACAGCCACCGGCATCCGGCGTCTCCCACACCCCCCATGCTGGGATTGGCCTGGCCTGGCCTGGCCTTGACCACAGTCCGCACTCTTGCATGGCCACTCCCCGCCCACTGCCCAGGAATGGGGGTGGCTGGACCCGTCCCGGTACTGAGTGTGAGTGAAGCTGCTGCCAGCAGTCATGGTTCCTCCAGCCCTAGGTAGCAAACATGGGGGCAGAGCTTCCTTCAGGGTGCGGCCCTGCTCAGGGGTGGGGCTCAGGGAATGGGGGCTGTGCCCAGGCAGAGCCTGACCCCCTTTTGCTGGCTGGTGCTGCCCGGGCTGCTGCCCCAACACTCTAGCCCCTGCCGTGGGGCCCAGCCAAGCCAAAACCCACCCTGCAGCTGCTTAGCTGTGCGCGGGGCAGGGGAACAGAAGCAGGGGGACGCCAGCACTCAATGCAGGCTGGTGGGAAATGGGGGAGGGGCTGGGGGAGAGATGCGGGAGGGGGGGCTGTGGGTTGGGGGAGCAGCTTCAAATGAATTTTCTAAAATGTTTGGTTACAAAATGAAATTAAACCTGTGACATCCCCAGGGCGCTGTGTGATGTCTGCAGTGGGCAGGCACTGGGCCCCATGGCCTGACCACACCAAGCGCCCCTGAGGGGAATGCCAGCTGGGCACAGGCACCCGGGGTTGCCATGGCTTCATCCTGGCTCCACTTTGGAGAAATGGCTCTTTGGGGGCTTTTGTTGTCGCCACAATGTGTGTGACCGTGGGCAGGGCCGCCTCCCTGCTCTGTGCCAGTCGCTCTGAGAGGAGCCAGCTGCCTCCCTCCTCTCAGGGGGGCACGATCCTTTGCAATGCCCGTAACTGTCTCACATCCCAGCCTGTTGGCACCGCAGCTGGAGGGGTCTGTTCATTGCAGTCCCAGCGCCTGGGACCTCCTCCCTCCCAGGTTCTCCGGCTGCCAGGGGGGACGGGCCTAGGCTGGCTCAGGTCCATCCTGCTGTGCTGTGAGACCAGCTGGTATGGGGACACCATCGGCCGCTGCCTCTGGAAATCACTAGCACGCTGTGGCCCTCAGCAGGCTCTGCATTTCCTCTGCCTGGAAGTGTCTAAAGCGGCTGCAGAACGGCCTCCGGCCGGCCTGGGTACTCAGGGCCTTGCTTATGGGCCCAGAGCCTCAGATCAGCTTTACGCCTCGTCTGCCACCTGTGGGGTGGGCCGTGGCTGCAGCAGCGTGGCCAGGCAGCCAGTGCGGAGCGGCAGGTACTGCCTGGTGTCAGCAATGCGACCAACAATGAGCAGAGGGGAGATGGCTCCAGGCCGGGGGGTCTGTGCCCAGGTCTGGTGGAGAGGGGCAGCGACTGGGTCTTGGCTTTCCTAGGAGCCCCGGCTAGGGAGCCAGGCTGGGCTGCATCTCCTGGGGGGCTGGAGTCTCTGGTGCAGCGGCCCGAGCCAGAGGGTAGCACCGCAGCAAAGGCGAGAGGCCATGAGTACAGTGAGCCAAGGGCAGTAACGGGAGCAGTCAACGGGAGTCAGGCCAAGCCGCAGATGGAGGTGTGGGGCCTGCTCTGCTAGGGCCGCCTGCCCACCAGTTACAGAGAGTGGTGACTGAGGCGCAGAACCGGATGTCTCCTATCCAAGCAGATTTTAATAACTGCAGCTCTCCTGAAAGCACAGTATGAAGATTGAGTTTCATTACGGCGAGGGAAGCACATGCATTGTAAATTGTGGCAAATGCTTGTGGTATCAACAAACAGATTAATAGCTTTGAGAATGTCAGACGCTAGCAAGTAAAAGACAGTTTAAATCATCTCCCTGGAGGGACTTGGCAGGTGAGTAGCGCTGGGCGAATAGCTGATTTTTCACGGATATTTCAATACTTGTCCTCTTAGGGAACCTGCACAAGCACCTTCCGAAGGTGAGACTGGGAACTTCAATTCATAACTCTGCTAGACACCAAAAAACATTGACTCAACAGAGATGCTGATTTTATGGCTCATGACAATATATAACACACCCCGTTGTTAGCTGTCAGGCTCGAGCTGCGATGGGCCACCCCAGCAAACTCTCTCACCCCCCTACAAGGGGGCAGCATTGTGGCTGGGCCTAGCGCAGGTAGTTATATGAGGTGCTCTCAGTACAGTCATTTCCTGGTACAAAGGTTTTTTGGTCCCCACTGGGCCGATCCTTCCAGATGTCCTGGGGGAGCCTTTGCTGAGAAGCCCATAGATCAGTCAACACTAAAGGTGGGAGAGAAGTGCTTTTGAAAGACGAAAAGGGAGGCATGGAACAATGTGGGAAGACTTTCAGGCTTATCTGAGACTGGGACAGACTCTGTTCCTGGTGGCTTGGAACGGAGAGGGGAAGGGAACAAAACTTTTCCTGATGCGCTGGAGAGGTTTTAGTTGGGGGCTGTAGGTGACGGCTCGTGGCGTTCTGTTACTTTCTTTGTTGGGTCTGTCCTGTAGTAGGTGACTTCTTGGTACCCTTTTGGCTCTGTCAGTTTTTCTTCTCTTCACGAGGTGGGTCCTGTAGTTTTAAGAACACTTGATAGAGATCCTGTAGGTGTTTGTCTCTGTCTGAGGGATTGGAGCAAATGCAGGATCTCTAGCAAGAGGATTGACAGAGCCAGAAGGATACCCAGAAGTCACCTCTCCTTGCATAGCTGATGCAATCCACAGACTTCACCCAGAGTTCCCAGCACTGCTGGACAGAGACGCCTCATTCCTGCACTCTCTCCCCGGGACATCTTTCTTTCTTTCTGGAAGACTTTGAGATTCCCTCCTCCCTTGGGGGGGGGGGGGGAGGAGCAAAGGGCCTGATCTGAAAAGTCCCTATAAGGAGCTGAGATTGTCCAATGCAGCCGGGTGCACGTACTGTACCAGCCCACGTGCACCATCACCCCACTCTCACCTCATCCTGTCCATTGGGTGTCAAGCGCTGTCTGTGCTGGGCTCTATTAGACCCAGGGTACCCCGCCCCCCCTCCCGAAGTCCCACATCCCCCTTTAGTGGTCACTAGTTACATGCCGCGCTGCCAATTCTGTCATTTTCCAGACCCCCTCCCCCTGTACATTTGAACCCCCGCTCTGATTTCAGTTCCTGGGGAAAACGCCATCGGGGGCCAAGCTGCAGAACCAGAGTGAGACAGATTGCTAGTGCCCCCTCCCCCAGGCAGGAATTGGGAAAGGGGGCCATGAGGGGGCTCCCTCTCCGGGGTGGAAACTTCCCTTCTTTGAGGGGTGGGGAGCGGAGCAACCAGCTCGCAGGCTCTGCAGAGTCTGTGGGGGGGACCCCTGCACTGGGATCCCCCAGGGACTGGGTGCTGGATAGGGTGACCAGACAGCAAGTGTGAAAAATCGGGACAGGGGTGGGGGGTAATAGGAGCCTATATAAGAAAAAGTCCCAAATATCAGGACTGTCCCTATAAAATCGGGACATCTGGTCACCCTAGTGCTGGAGGGAGCTCTGCTGAAGGAAAAGGGGGGCAGCTGGAGCACAGATTTATGGGGATTCCTGTCAGCTGGTGTTTGTAGGAGCAATGGGGCGGTGAGGTTTGCAGGGGGGAGGGAGTATTTGCTGGAGGCAGGGGGGATCCCGCCCTCCAGTTTCCCGGAACTGATCAGGGACAGAAGGGAGTTTGGAAAGCACGCGCGCACACACCCCCTGGGATCCACTGCCAAGCCACTGTGCAGTCAGAGGCTGCTTCATTGAAGAAATGAGTTAGCAAACTTCCTTCTTGGTGAGGTGGATGCTGCCTCCACGGAAGCAGTTAAACGGGGCCTTTTTCATTGTTCCCAGCAGGCCGTGGCTTCTCCAAAGTTGCCTTCTTTAACTGCAGTTCAAAATAGCTTCTCGGCGGTGAGTGTGGAGCTATTTTTCAGTTTGAGTTTTGCTCCTTGGTTCGTTCTCTCCCTCCCTAACTTCGACTGGTGTAAACCAAACTAAAATATTCGTAGGAGATCAGCCTGTCTGGGCAAATGCCTTTTTTAAACCAACTAAAAGCTTCACTACAAGATTGGTATGTGCCTGACCTCCTAATGCAGCACACCATTGACTGCTTGCCTTTGCATATGTATTTTGACTGTGGGGCCAGTCTGCTCTTAAAAGGGGCCACTGCTGTAGCCCCTTCAGTGTAGACATTGCCTGAGAAGCAGTAGCTGTTCACACGGGGACTTGGGTTGGCTTAGCTATGCCGCTCAGGTGTGTGGATTTTTCACACACTAGTGTGACCAACTAGTGCAATTGACCTAATTTTCTAGCATACACCAGGGCTTAGGGAAAGGAAAGGTGGGTCCAGGAAAGGGGCATGATCGATTTTCAAAGATGTGAAGGGCTGCTATAAAGAGGACAGTGATCAGTTGTTCTCCATGTCCCGGTCCCTGTAGGACAAAAAGGAATTGGCTCAATTCCACTTGCTCTGAAAGGCACCTCGGTGTCAATGACTGCACCAGCCGCCGGGCTATGGAGAATCAGGTCTGTCGTTTTTATGTTGGGTGCCGGTGAAGGTGTACAGAATGGAGAGACACTGCCCCTTAGTGGTGGGGCAGATGGTAGAATCTCTATTGATATGATTACAGCAGTGGTTCTCAACCAGGAGTACGTGTCCCCCTGGGGTACGCAGAGCTCTTCCAGGGGGTACATCCACTCATCTAGATATTACAACAAGCTACATAAAAAGCACTAGTGAAGTCAGTACAACTAAAATTTCATACTGACAATGACTTGTTTATACAGCTCTATATATACTGTGCATCGACATGTAAGTATGGTATTTATATTCCAGTTGATTTATTTTATAATTAGATGGTAAATGAGACAGTCAGCATTTGTTCAGTAATAGGGTGGCTGTGACACTTTTGTATTTTTATGTCTGATTTTGTAAGCAAGTTGTTTTTAAGTGAGATTAATCTTGGAGGTACACAAGACAAGTCAGCCTCCTGAAAGGGGTACAGTGGCTGGAAAGGTTGAGAGAACCACTGGATTACAGCAATGAAAGACTCTTGTCTCCAGTGCTGATAAGCAGATGAAAAGAAGGGGCCATTAATTTGGAACCTACACAAGGAACTACTTTGGGCAATGTATAGACAACCGGTGGAACTCACTGCTGCAGGAGTCAGATGCAGGTGGATTGGGTTGCCAACCCTGCAGGGTTCTCCTGGAGTCTCCAGGAAATTAAAGAGCAATCTTTAATTAAAGATTACGTCAGGTGATGAAATCTCCAGGAACACATCCATACAAAATTGGCAACCCTAAGCTGGATCTTTACGACCGTTGCCAATATTTGTGCAGTGGGCAGAGGTAAAGAGTTCTCTTTCACCAGTAGGTAAAACCTGACCCATTTAAGCAGCTGTCACCTGTAGAGGGCTGGAATTGTCAGAAGGGCTCGGCTCCCACCATCGGGGCGAGAGCGTCTAAAGGGCTCAGCGCGTTGGGTGCATGATGGGCACTGAGACCTTTGGCCCACTTA